TGCCATGCTGGGACAGTAGGTCTAGATCTGTACCTACCTCCCCTGACTACTGATATTAGGTGTGAGCAGGGAGGAGTCATCTTTTCATCATCTTCTCAGTGACAGCTCAGACAAAGCTCAGGAGTTAGGCATGGGGTTTTGTTTTGAAAAAAGGCAAATTAAACTTCTTTTCCTCAACACCTCTCCCCCAAGATTTCCTCTATTACCATATATTTCTCAAAGCTTTTTGGACAGGCATTCACATTTGGGCCCATTGTTGAATGTCAGGATATAACGTATGCTTAGCTTGATCCAAGTTTAGGGTGAACAGGCAATAGTGCTTTTTAAATATGAGGCACAGAATAAGCCTGCACTATCAGGACAGACAGATAACACCACAAATATTATTTTTCTGTATGCACTGATTCTCTTAGCAAAGTTCTGCATTCACATACAAAATGACACATAAACTGATGAACCTGTAGAGCTGCTTCTTCAAAGAAAAAAACCCACCCAAACCCTAAAAAGGCAAAATACAGTATTTAACCACAGCTCAATCAATCCACTGCAGACGCACCAGCAGTTTTCCACACCACTCACCCCTTAAACTGCAGAGTGCAGGGTGTCAGTAGGATCCTATGCACCGGGATGAACAGCATCTCCACTCACTTGTGTTGGTTCATTTAAGACAGTTTCTTTATCAATAATATTGAGCTGCACAGGGCACTGAGAAAATGGCAACAAGGCTAGCTGGATTTACATGGCAGATTTCCTCTCCCGCAGCTGCCGGATGAGTGCAACACAGTGTCTGAAGCACGAGTGGTTAAACAATCTACCTGCCAAAGCCAAGAAGTCCAAGCTTCGTCTGAAGTCCCAGTTGCTGCTGCAGAGTTACATGGCTCACAGAAAATGGAAGGTAAATAGACAAAGTCTGGCAAATCTACTTCCAGAGGGAAAATCAGCTCAACACAGGCAGAGCCATTCCCTCCTTTTTTGTACGTTGGCTCACTTTTGTCCATAGGCTTCTTTCTTGTAAATATGAGTTTGGGAAGTCTATTTCCAGTTGTAAATTAAGTTTTTTATCCTGCAGAATGATATTGCTTCTATTTTTAGCAAATTTGGTTTCAATTTTTACTCCTTCTGACTGGTGTTTAGAAGTTTTAATTTTTTTTTTCTTTACAAGTTCAGAGACTTCAGATGCTACTTAGCTTATATTAAATGTTCTTTCTCTTCATATTGGAGAGATTTTTCTCCATTGACAACAGTTGCATTGTTCTGCTGTCACTATGGAGTAGGGATACAACATAAGGCAGTTTTGTGCCTCCCATTGCAGAGAGAAGTGTGGGAGAGAGAAAAAATTAGGCTTAAACCCATCCAGAGAACTCTTCAGGACCCTTCTGATAACCCCATGCTCTTTCAGAACTAAATTTTATATGAAGAACTGATAGATAAGAATTTCTATTGAAGTCTCTATTGGATTGTAGATAATCGATCCTGAAATGTGAACACAGTGATCTTGTTACAAATAGGCCCGTGGAAACGTGAGGAAAACTCAGTGATGACCATTTCCTTTTTTGTCACTGGAGAGTTGCAATTCCTTACCAAGGAGTTAAACCAGAGGCTTACACTTTTTCCACTCCTGCACTCCAGCTTTTTGGTCGCAGACTTCTGCACTTGCATTTTAAAAAATACATAATCTAAAGACGTATCACTATATAATTTGTAATAATGCTGCAGAAGTTCAGTGCCAGCAGTCTGTTCTGCAGTAATCAGTGGTTCGCCAGTACAAAGCTGTTCTGCACTGCAGTCCACACAAGGTGTGGGTCACTAGAGGTGAATGGATTTACCAAGAAGACAAATCCATGTCAGCCACAGAAAAGGTCCTTTACCTCAGTTGCACTCACACTTGAACTGTTCTGTTTTGTTCACAGAAACATTTTTATGTGGTGGCTGCTGCTAACAGGCTGAAGAGATTTCAGAGTATGTCTGTCAAGCTTGTATGAAGCATCTACCACTCTTGGAGATGGACATGAAGCCATGAAAGGAGGACTCAGTATCTTCAATAATTTCTACCCCTTTGTTTTATAACATAAGGTTTTGGGGCTGTCCTCCTCAAATATTATGTGTGTTAGCGCTAAGGTTCCAGAAGCGCCTCAAGGAAGAGGCACTGAAATAGTTTCTAATAGCAGAAGCTACCTTGTTTGTTTTTACAAGTTTTTAGTTGTTGTACATAGTGATGGAAAAACATGGCTGTTATTGGGGCTGACTTCTTGCTGAAGGCTTTGATTCTGCAGAGTGTTGTTGGTGTGTTTACACCAGAAAACACCTTATCGGTTTTCTCGTTTCTCACACCAACCATGGGATCTCTATAAAGACTTTCTTCATGACTGATGTATGCCATCAATTTTAGAGCACTGCCACAACAGTGGCACAATTTTTCCCTCGGGTGTTTGTTATTTACAACAAAAGATATCGGATATCCTTTTCTTCTGTAATTTTTTCAAAAAGATTAATTTTTTTCCCCCAAACATGACGACGATTCAGTGCAACTGCTCAGAGTTGAATGGTTTTTATTTGTTGGTTTTTTTCTATTCTACTCTCTCCTTTAAAAAATAGTCACTGCATAGTTAGGAAATATGAGGAATCCTGGTTTTAAGTCAGTTGGTCCATTGCTGCTTTTTCTTACGATGAGTTGAATTGAGCTGAATCGATTGAACTTTTGGAAGGAGATAGGTGAAACTGCCACAAATAAAAATCGCCTAATGACCGTTGGGTCTATGCAAAAAGATCTCATGCTGTCCAGAAAAGAAGAGATTTCCAGGCATCATTTTGTATGTATTTAAAACTTGTAAGTGCTTCTCATTGGCTGTGATTGCAGCCCTTAATTTGTAAGTTTTAGTTTGAGGATATTTTCTCCTCTGACAATTTTAATGAAGTCTGAGAAGTTGATATGGTGTGATATGCAAAATAGGTTTTATTGCTGTTCAGCGGCAGGAAAACGGTGTGTTGCCAGACTCTGCCTTTAGCCCAGTTAGGAGGTTGAAGCCCTTTTTTCCCCCACTTTGCTCTTGAGTATTAAACGTTTTCTTCACGATACTAACTTACTTTGGATTTTAAACTTATTCCTGATGTATAAAGAGTTGGAGCCACTTACAATCTCTCAGCTAAAAGTATAACATTATTTATTAAACCTGTGGTTTCCTTTATTCCTGTTCTAGATTCTGCAAAACTCAGTGTGAGCTGGATGGGCTCTTAGGAAAACCGGAAACTAATACTACTAAAACTAGCTTTCCAGCAAAAGCATCAAACCACTGTACAGCTCCCTTTAACTTTATGGACTTTCAAGTCCCTTGAATTAGCAAAAGTGTTGGTTGCTAATAAAGAGGTTTGTAAGACTGGCTTACCCTAGTCTAGTTATCTTTACCACTTTAGTGCTTCTCACTCTGCATAGTCCTGAATCCTGGACTTCTGCAGCATTTCCAGAATTGAAACAGAAAAGAATTATTAAAATCAAGTGAAATAATCTTGACAATGTATCACCTTCTGTGAAGGCCCATTTCTGTTTGTTTTCCTTCCACAGTGGTTCTGCATGCTATATGTGATTATATTAATTGGTCTGTATATTTCTGAATAAATTCCATTGAAGTGGAACAAGCCTATTCCTCAATTTTGGTTTAAACTGCCCCCCGCCAAACAAATCTGAAAGCATCTCTGAGTAGGTCTTAACAACAGAATGCTAATGTACTAGGTTGGATTCTCTCCCATCCTGAAGACCCTCTGCTACATATTAGATCAGACTTTAAAAGGCAGGCATTTTGTTACAGCTTTTGCTCAGTGTGGGTTAATTATCCAATATTTTCTCTGCACATCAGGCATTTGTTCGGAGTCCATTCCCCAATAGTAACTCTTAAATTTCAGAACTCTCGTCTAGATTGAAATTAGCTCTTGCTAATTAAAGTAAAGTTGGCTTCAAGTGGCTTCCTTTTTTATGCACTGGGAGGAGAAGTGAAAGGAAAATGGCCAGTAAGTTTTAACTTTCCAATTACTGTGTGCTTCTTCCTCTATTTTTGTTAGAGGATAACACACGGATGCTCTCCGCTGTCTTGTACATATTTCCTCTCCATTTTCTACAAAGAGAAGGTGCCTCTGGCCAGCAGGATTACTACTTCATTTCTAATAGAAAGAAATCCCTTTAGATTCGGCAGCCATCACATGGTTCTGCAGTACAGTGAAACCCACCTCTGCAGCCTTATGGGATGTTTCACCATGTCCTGTGCACTTTGCTTTGGAATCTACAAAAAGCTAAAAGGACGAACCACAGGTGACCTGTGAGTCACTGGAACAGCAAGCATGACAAAAAGAACTGGCCCCATACACTGATATCTAAAGCAGTTAATGATACTAGCTATTGTAATCCTGGTGCGATCAGCATCACTTAAGTAAGCAGGGAGTATGCACAGCAGTGAGGCATCTGGCAAGCCATTAAAATACTGTTGAGAAGAAGCTCGTGTGAAGGCAGTGTTTCAAATCTAAATGCTCAGACATGAGATAAATTACCTTGCTTCATATGGATGCTTAGGGTTTTCTGGGTTGTTTTGAAATGAGGGTTTATGAAAGTTATCTTCTCTTTCACATCCCAGGCAGAAAACATGCAAGAGAAAGGGACGAAGACTTGGGTTGCTTTTATTGTAGTTACACCAGCCCTGTACTGCTAAAAGTTACGATTTTTCCTTCAAACGCAAATTGTAGTTTGAGCGGCTGGGATGAAAGTGTAGGATCGCAGAAGTTGCCTCTAAGAACTACAGGGCAGGGCACTCTCTCCTCTTCCCTAAGTTTATGACTGCGAGATGCAAAAAACCTGTATTACCCAGACAAGATCCTTGGCCCCTCGATATCTTCCTTCTTAAAGCACAAACATCTCCTGTATGTCTTTTATTTTGCGTTCTATATGACAAGTGCCAAGAACCTGATGTCATAATGCAAAGCTTTTCCTTCCAGTATTTTTATTGTTTCTTGGAATATTTGGGACCCCTCACAAGCACAAGAGACTTCAGTCCCATACAGGTCATAAAAAAGAGTCAAATTCAGTAACTAAACAATATTTCTTCAACAGTAAAAAAAAAAAATTCATAAAGTTATCAGTCTTAATTCCTCTGCTGGTTTTGCAGTTTAACAAGGCACCATTAGTCCCCTCCCTCTCTTTTCACTGACTACTTCCAGCCAGGGGCCCAAAGGCATATAACTTATAACTTATTTACACTTAACACAGCATTAGAATGTTACCTGCTGCTTGCAGCAAGAGAATGAAGCTATTCTACCACCTAATGCCATAGTTGCTCAGGTACCAGCCTGGCGAATAGTCAGACAGGCTTCTTGTAAAATCACCTCAATTCTGGTGTCATTTACTAAAAATAACATCCTTAAATACTTAAAAACTAGCTAATAAACAAAATCAGCTGGCTACCAGACAGCCATCACTCATATGGTACTGGAACTCTTGTTAGAGCAGAGAGAGAGAGTTAAAATTATGAGCAAGCAGCAGTTATATTACTAGGTGGCACTACGGAGACAGTACTCCTACTTGTCTCTTGTGCCTTAGCAGCATTTTCCAGGATTTTCTTTTTCCATTCTTCATAGTCTTGCTTTGTTTCAGTCTTTGGCCGTTTACATGGCATCTCCTCATCATCTTCAGATCCTATGAGAGAAGGAAAGTCCATGACAGGCCATCGTGGGCAATATGCTGCTGGGAATAACCGTGGCAGTGAGCAAATGTACAGACACAAGCACAGGGTGTGTCACTGTGTTATCTAATCCTGTGGTTTGCTGCTCCCCTCACCTGCCGAACAGTCACCTCTTCACCTTTGTGTCTGAATGGAACAGTTGTCCTTAATTCTACTATGACTAGTCAGTATAAACACCATTGTCCTTCTGCTAAGTTCTCTTTGTCCTTTCATCAGTCAGTGGTTTGCAGAATGGAGTAAGCGGCTGTGAACTGAATATTATGGCATACTACACAACTAAAATATTAAGCAGCAATAAAGCTCAGAACTGCTCTAGTGAGGTGATTTTAGTTCATAGCTAAACACAACTTACCATCTTCCTTCTCGCAGTGCTCCAGGTTGGTCTGCAAGCTTTCAGGTGTGTCTGCAGCCAGTGGAACATCTTCTTCTAAAAAAATAAGTAAGTTGCTTTACTTCTGAATGGTGTTTGGGGCCCCAAGGGCGGTGTTCTACATGCAATTCTTTGACAGCAGTGCCACCTTCCAAAAGTATTGTCTCCCAGTCAGAGCAGTTCCCTGGTCCAGACTGATGCTCAAGCTGTACATGCAGAGGTGCCAGCACACTTCAAGGGTTGCACGGACTGGTTGGCTGCTTTAACTAGCGCTGCTGCATTTGTAACCACAATAATCCACCATGTTCATAGCCCAAAAACACGCTGCTACCCTTCTGGATTACTCAGGCAGGATTATCAGTTATTTCTTCCCTTCTATCCCATTTCCACACTTTGTATTATAGGTGCCCACAACATGCAGGGTGCTGTCCATGTATACAGATGCACACTCTTCCCTGAACTGATCCAGAAACTCCCAGCTGCCTTTAGCTGCTTTAGTGGTGGTTTTTTGGGTTTTTTATAGGGCACTGTACTATGGTAAGGTCCACGCCTAGGGAGAGAGCAGCAGTTTTTGGTTTGGGTTCTAGCAGCATATTCTAGAAAACTTCACGATACGAAGCATGACGACAGGGTGAAGCAGGGGTACTGTTAGTGGGAGAGTAAGAATGAAAGCCTGGGAAAGGAAAAAGGAGGTAAGTAGGAAGGAGCAGAGATATGAGGACAGGAAGGCATGTATTGTATTTCAATTTTACTCCTCCACAAAAAGGAGTGGAGAGAGCTGCAGGTTCAACAACGGATGAGAAAAATTCCTCATGTCTGCCCACTGTATGTGGAGGGATGGTCTCAGGTAATGGCTGAATTACTACCAGAAGAGCAAGGCTTAGGCTTGTTAATCCTGCAGTGGGGGAAAGGAAAACACAGAAGTGGGTCAGTCAAAGCAAGAGAGGTAGCAAGATGCTTATGTTAATTTGTGTTAATTTGTGTCATGTTACCATGTTAACAGGATGCAGAAAGCAAGCAAGGAGGAGGAATCCAAGATAGGTCAGGTAGTATGGGAGAAGCAGGGAATAAATTGCAGCAACAGAGAATGTAAGGAGCAGTGAGCATTTGAGAAGAGAGGAAAATATTTATTTTTGGCCTTGCCACACGCTAAGCTGTTGCGACTTCCCCAGAAGCAATGACTGTGACTGGGAACTGGGCTGCAGGAAACATGTTGGAATGGATGGGCAGGTTTGGCTGGGACAGCTGAAAGTGATCAGAATGAAACCACCAGTGGAAAAGGATGGGGCACTGTGAGGCCAGGTGATGGATATGCTGTCTTACAGGGATAAAGCCAAAAACTTACTGCTGAGCTGCTGGCTCATCTTCTCCAGCTGATTGCACAGCCGGTCAAATATTGCTTTTTTCACCCCAGATGTAGCCAACATTTTAGTTTTGTCCACTTTTAGCTTCAAACACCTACAAGAGAAAGTTAAGTTATCTCTGTACAAAGCAACACTCCAGCAACTATCATTCAGGTGGGGTGACATTTACTGTACCAACACTGCCTGTGAGAATGAGGAAGGCAGGCCCGAGTTTTTGTCCTATCTACCTAATCCTTGTTTCACTCAGAAACAAATTTGCTTAAAAAAATAGACCCCTATGCTACTCAGTCAATAGAGCTCAGGAATTGAAACTCAGGGTTAGTTCAAGTTACATAAGGAAATTCTATTAGGAAAAGGTACTTTTCAGATTTTCAGTGGGACCCCTGTGTCAAGAGAACATTTGTCAGGAGCTGTGCAACTACACAGCACCTGAATTGCTTCACAAGATTGTTACAAGGCATAATACTGACAAGGAAGATATTTGCATGCAAGCAGATTTCTTACAAAGAGTTGGCTGAGTCAGATGCTCCTGACATCTATCTTCCAAGCTGATACAGGCCTACAGCTATTAGATCCACCTCCCAAAGGTTAGAGCACCCTCAGGATGTGATTGTGTAGGGCTTTTCCTTCTTCAGAATGGCTGCTTCTTGGTGCTTAGAAGTAAGCTAGCAGCCATTCTTGCACCTTGAGCAGTATCTCACCAAAAGCCATGCAACTTTTTGCTTTGTGCCCAGCTCAAATCTATCCTGACAACGGAAAAAAATTTGAAAATGTTACTAAGGGATCATGTTATGCTGGTTAGGCTGGGAGGAAGGAGGGTAAAGTGCAAAACACTAACAGAAGTTTTTCAGCCACTGCCGTGGATACGTCCTAATGGAATTACCCACAGCATCCGATTACACACCGGGGAAGACAGGTTTCATTTATTTTAGGATAAGTAACTCAAGATCCTTTTCTGTATATTTGATACAATACTTCTGCTTTCTCCTGAAGGCAAATGCAGTGTAGGTTTGGAGACTTCACTGTAAGGAAAGGCCTGGTTTGCTACAGCTGTCTCCATTTCCAGGAGTAGGGCAGCAGGATGTGCTAAGCGAGACCCTTCAGACATACTGAATGAATCACCTGCTTACATTGTAAGCACTATTTCTGTTTGGTGTCTCACTAGGCATTTAAGCCCAAAAAAGGTCCCTCAAGCTACACTCACCTGCATGCAGTGAACAGTGCAGCTGTTATAAAAAGTGGTTTTGAGAAATCAAGGTCCATTTGCTGTGCTTCAGAGAGGCTGGATTCATACCTAAAGAATAACAATAAGAGTGATAATTGTATAGTGCATTTGCCTCAAATGAAGCTATTGAAATTAATTTGTCACATGGTACTTAGCATTTGAACAGGTCTCCTGTTGGATCACTTGGTCCTTTGCAACCCAGTCAAGCAGAAACAGCTGCTACTGGCTGAGAAGAGCAAAAGGGACTAGGGAAAAGAAGGGGACTGGAATCATCACCTCTTCTTGAATTAAATGTATTTTAAATTAGGGATCTGGATCAAGGTATGTCAGTAAAATCTGTTTCTTGTGCTCCCCATCCACACAGCACTTTTACCTCTACATTACATCTAAAAGTTACAATGAGATGCTTTGCATAAATCCATCCTATAATGGAGGGTAGAATTACAGTTTCTTCGATTCCTCTAATATGTATATGACACAGATGAAGGCTTAAATATGGAAAATGACATGGGGGATGTGCAGCACTGAAGAATTTAATTTTTTTATTGCCTACCTGTTCCCAGCCTATTTTTTTTTTTAGTTTGTATTAAGCACTGACAATACAGCCTTTGTTCACTGACCTAACAGCATTTAAACATGCGCTATCAGGGTGGCAGCACTCCAGAACAGAGCTCTTCAGTGATTGCTTGTGTTAAAGTAGATGTTACAGAGTGCAAAATTTTAGTTAAATCTGTTGAATCTCCATTGAAGTGTTCTACCTATCGTTTTTACAGGTAGAGTAATGCACATTTTAAGAGATCTGGTTCTCCAGAAGGGGGGATTTGTTTTGACTGACTGTTACTTCTGAACTGTGACATAATCAGCAGTTAAATGGAAGACAGTGTGATGCTATGGACAAATATAGGGACTAGGAGTCCTCTATTTTTTACACTATTCCCTGTTGAAGAATTGGGACTCGGACAATGACTTATTGAGCTTCACAGACTAAGTCTTTCTAACATGTATTCTAAAAAGTGGCCTAGATAAATGGCTGGATTGTCAGTGCTAAGAACTCACCTCACCACTCCAGTCAGTGGGAGATACCTGGCCCTTCCAACCATCAAGCTCTTGATATCTAATGAACAAAGAATCTTGCTAGTGGTTACCACTGTGCTCACAAGAGCTTCCTCACCTCTGTAGTATTTTTGAAGCGGTGTTCACTGCCTCTGTGCAGCAGAATTGCACAGCAAAGTCTCGCATTCCCAGTCTGGGGTTCACCTCCAGCAAACATTCCAAAGACTTCATGGAGCTCTGGTAGGTAGTCTTGTTCAAACCGGAGAGTTTAACAAAATAGCTCTTTCAAGAGGACAAAGACAAAACACAAGAATTAGCAAGATTCCTTCACAACATCTTATTCAGGCAACGAAAATAGATTAGGGAGAAACTACACAATACCATAAAATAAAGTTCAATTGCTGTATTAAAGAAATTTGTGCAATGAATGATCTAAGTTTTGACTGCACACGGGAAGATTAACCACGTAGGAATGCCACATCTTTTAATGCAGTGTTATTTTTAGACCATTTCATTGGAAGTGAGGTTTGTCTTTTCCATATAATATGACATGGCCCTGACATAACCACAAGGTGGTTAAAAACAAAGGTAACCAAGATCTGGGCAACTTGAAGAGATGAGCAATACTTCCATGCTACTCCTCATGGGGTCAGGTCCAATTCTCTTCTGTCTGTGAATGGACAATCCCAAACATCTTGTACCAGACATTATTTTGGCAGCTCAGTGCCATTTACCTGGCAGGTCTGCAGATGGAAGTTTACAGGTACCACTACAGAGAGGGATTCCTTGGAGCCACTGCTTCCCTCCCACAGTAAAAAGGCACAGATCTTAAATTTAACATCCTTGCTGGTAGTTTATTTGTTACCAAAAGAGCTGAAATTATAGCAAAGCAAGCTCAACTTGTGAAGTGACTATGACACTGATCTCAATTTGCCCTGTTTCAAACTCTGAGTAGCGAAAGCTCTAACACTGTGTCTAGCAGCACACTACTGGGTCTAGGGTAATGTCAGTTATTACTATCCCTTTCCTGCTCCCAGCATACACTACACAGGACAACGATTTTAGTGGACTTATGGAAAACGCACCAGCCAGCCAAGTCATATACTGTATCTTACTTTGTCAACCGGTTGTTTCATGAAACTAGCCGCTAGGTCCAGGCACATCACAGCACTGCTTGTCGCTGTCATTTGAGCCATTAATCCCGTGCATTTCACCTGGGATAGCCGCAGATACTCTTCAGCTTTTCTGCAAAACGCCCAGCGTACAAAGCCCTCGTTAACAAAACCACAGTTACAAGACAGTAAGAATGGCAGGACAGGAACTGATCCAAGGTTTACCTAGTCCAGCTCCCTGGCTGCAGCACATGCTTAGGGAAAGGGGTGCTACAGCAAACACAGGATTATACTGCCCTTTCTCTAATAAGTTGCAGCAGCAGCTTTGCATTTCATAGCCTGCAATGGCTGTTTCATTAACCGCGTATACCTTAAGGTCTGTGACCTTTTTCACACCGACCAGAACCAAAGAAGGAAACCGATGGCAGGCTGGCATTGCAAGGAGGTGAGGCAGACCTTGGCTGCCGCTGCTGTGCCGGGAGAGCTAACGGGGCCGGTCAGCGCCCCCAGGGAGGAGCCTAGGCAGGTCCGGCGGCAAAGCACGGTCAGGCGGCCGGACGGGAGCGGGCCAGGCCGGCACCGCACGGCCGGACCCGCTTATCCGGACGGGAATGACGCTCCCGAGAGCGG